GAGCTTATGATCCGGTCCTCAAAATCGTCCGTGTCCCGCACCCCGTCCCGGTACCCATACCGCACGACACACCGGTAGACCCTGTGCTCGGGAGGGCCCACGCGCCCGACGATGTAGCGCCCGTCTTCCGGGACGTGGGGCATGGGGAAAGATTTGAAGGTGACGAAAACGAGCACGCGGTGGAAGGCGGGTAAGTTGGTGACAAAATGGGAGAAGAAGGCTGGGATTCCGGACTCGACCTCGGAGTAGACGAAGCCGATGCCCGGGATGCGGGAGACTCCGAGGCTTGGGGAGAGGTCGGTGAGCCACTCGACGGGGACCTTGCTGTGGAGGTCGAACTCGTGTTTCTTGAAGGTGCCATAGTGCCAGGTGGCCATGAGGGAGATGAAGAGGGAGAAGAGAGCGAGGAGGGCCCATGAGCCACGGAAGAAGCCCGTGAGGAGGGTCGTGAGGAAGTAAGCGGTCTCAATGGAGCCGAAGAGGAGGAGAAAGCAGACGGACGAGAGGAGGCTCCGCTCCCAATAAAGGGCGATCACCAGCGACATCAGGCAAGTTGTCACGAGCATGCCGCCAGTGATAGCCATGCCTGCGGAAACAATTAAAATAATCAACAATAATAATAATAATTTGTATCATTTTCATATATGTTCTTGATTTATCAAAAAAACTAACAGAAAGTCATGAATGCCTAAAGGAACCTCACCAGTTGCTTTTCCAAGTTGTGCCACATCATGGAAGCCAATGGTGATTGCTAAGCTCAAAGTCATGAAGAGCCAATTGGCATCCGGGACGTAAACTTGGCCGAGTATTTTTTTCGATGTGTGGACAACTTTCACTCTGGGAAAACAGTCGAGGGCTTGACACTGGTTTATGATAGAAAAACCAGCAGTTATGGTAGCTTGACTCCCAACGGCTGAAGCAAACAGCGACAAAATGGCAAATACATGCTGAAGCGTCTCTGAATAGGTTGTTTTTGTTTAGTTTCCGATTTGTTAGAATTCGAAAGGGGTCATTCTTAATCATAGGTGAGTTAACAACATGGAATGAAAAGAACAAAAAAAAAAGGAAAAGGAATGAAAAAAGTTAAAAATCTTACTATTAGGTATCGATTCACTGAGATGAACAGCTTCGGGGGTGCTAAGATAATTGGAGAAATATGCACATTGACCGGCGTAAGTCACAACAAGGACAGGATAGATAAAGTATATGAAGGTAACCTGCGAAAAACAAAAGATTTCACACTTTGGCCACGTCGTCATGCTACACAATCCCGAGGACCACCGAGAAAAAAGAAAAAGAAAGACAAACAACATAAAGAAGACAAAGGGATGGCTGATCAACTGCTGTGAATGAAATTTTACATGTGCACCATACTATTAGTACCTTAATAGATCTCTTTGAAAAATGACCAAGATCTGCATACATTGCCTCCGATCCTGGATACATGTTCAAAAAATCATCATCATCGTCATCATTCCAAAAGTGTTCGCCGGTCAACATTAAAAACCCTGCATAACCATAATTGAGCTAGTTTAGTTAGAGTACCAACCTGCAATGCATAAGACTATGCTGCTTAGTAGCTTCCAGTGCCTAAAATTAGTATTCTTTATAAACCTCAGCATGTATAGCGGCGAGACAGCGCGGAGGATTTGGGTATCAAAATGGATGATATTGTAAAGACCGAACCCACTGATGAAGAAAAGCCATACGATGACTACTGGAGCAAATATGCACCCGATTTTCTTTGTCCCGTGCTGCTGCAAAGTGAAAAGGCAAACTAAAATTGCACATGCTGCAGGAGTCGGAACATCTGGATGTATCGTCAACTTAAAGAGGTCAGAAGGTTGAAAATATTGATGACCCAGTTAATGTATGAAATGAAAATTGAAGCAGCAAGTTCGATTGTGATTTTGCAAGGATTTTTTATTTGAAGTTGCAAACTTACATTTCTTCATGATATTTGCCACATGATCTTTCGTGTCGTCTGAAGAGAGAACTGGTAAAAATAGCGAACGCCAACTTTTAGTTCAATACAAGTTGTGAAAAAAGAAAAAGAAAACCACCAAAAAGAACAAAAATGGCTACTATTGACTGAAAAGTCGTACATTTAGCAGAGATTTTCGCGCATGAGCGTCCAAGACCTGACGTCGCTGACAATACTAGAGATTCCCACAAAGAAATTGACACGAGTTGTTTAGTCAATCAACTATAAACGCTAATCAATAAAAAGAGTTAAAATTAAGTATAGTATTACAAACCAGAAATCGCGGGCGTAAGAACCGCATCACTTAATATCATGCAAGCACCAAGCAAAGCCAGGACGAGCAGTAAATAGTGACTGCTTTTGTGTTTTTCGATAGCCCGTCTAGCCTTGGTTTCGAGTTTTCCTTTGGAAGAGCCTTCTTCACCATCATGCTGAATCTTGCCTGCACTTCTACTCGAAGGAATCAGACCCACCGAGGCATGCCTACAAAGTAATGAGTACAACGAAAACGGACCACCTGCAAGAAAATTCAATATTTTTCATTTTCGAGATTTTCATTCGTCTAGCAACAATAAACTATAGTCATTCTTAAGAAATTTCAACATCCTTCCAAATATGTACCAAATAACCACATAAGATTTTTATTTTTCCCTGTAAAAAAAATGTTAATACCATAGGCAAAATCCAAAGAGGTGGTTTTGCTATTAATTTCAACAGATAATCGAAAAAACCAGAAACACTTGTCATGAATATCAGTTCTTACCTTCTCCCTCGTCGTCAGCTCTCAACACAATAAAAGCATACTTGAGTAATGGGATAATAGTTAGAGTCCAAAAAATAAACGAGAAGAGTTCATGTATCTCGTCGGGTGATTTAATATCCGCTGGATCAATTGATTCGAGCACATATAAAGGAGCTGTGCTCAAACGACCGTATATAACACCAAGGCTTTGAAATGACAGTACGAGTGTATGCCTCCATGTTTCTTTCTGCACAAGGCACGGTTAAACGTCAAGTTTGATACCTCAACATGTTAATGTTGTTAAAAGTCTCTATGGCAAACATCTTAAGAACTTGATCACATTGATTATATTAAACATACAACTAAAACTAACAAGAGCTTATCTATCCAATTGTCTAAAATACACGGCTAAATTTAATTTTTAGTACGCTATGTTGGTCATTTTATCGAAAAAGGTCCATCATTGTAGGGTGTCATCAATAATGGTCAACTAACTTGCCAATTTAATTAAAATTCATACAAAAACCAAGGTAGTGTACTAAAACTTGCCATCAATTTCAGTACACTATCTTGTTTTTTCGGAATTTTGATTAAATTGGCAACTTAATGGACTTTTGTTGATGACGCCCTAGATGATGGATCTTTTTCGGAAAATGGCACAGTGGACCATTTTTGAAATTTTGCGTCTAAAATACTGCAGCATAACTAACAAGAGCCCTGCCTGTCTTTTTTATGTCTTGCTTTTCATATTAAGGATGTGAAGATTCTCTTACTTCTTATACAAAATTTACCTTTTTTTTTTCGAGCACTAAAAACGAATAATCAATGATTTGCTGATCTTGCATATTACACAGCTATTTCCAGACCACATAAACAGTAAGAACACAAAAATAAATGCAAACAAAAAATAAAAATAAATAAATAAATAAACCAACTAAAATATTTTCTTTTGCCATCATCAGTATAATTTTCTCAGCAATTAACTGAATAAATCTGAACATAAACCAATGTGAAACAAAGAACAAAAAAAA